TTCTTTCTTTCTTTCTTTCTTTCTTTCTTTCTTTCTTTCTTTCTTTCTTTCTTTCTTTCTTTCTTTCTTTCTTTCTTAGACAAGGTCTCTCAATGGCCTGGAGCTTGTGAATTTGGCTAGGGTGACTGGCTAGCAATTACTTGGAATCCTCCCATCTCTGCCTCTCCAGCATTGGGCTAATCACACCACCACACCTGGTTTGTGAGTTCTGGGAATCAAGCTCGGCTCCTCCTGCTTGTAAGACAAGAGCTTTACTGACAAAGCTCTTTCACCAGCTCCACATTGATGACTTTTTAGTAGTTTCCATTTAATTACTACTATATACACTAAAGGAAGAAAAAAAGAAGGAAAGAAGAAGGTGTGGAAGGAGATCTTTGAAAATAGACAGCCCCCCCCATAATTATAGCAAGAATGACCCTTATGTTTCTGTTAGTTATTGGTACATGACAAAACACCCCAATGATAATTTATTTTGTTTATAAGTCTGCACTTGGGTGGTGCTCAGGAAGGAAGGGTGGTCTTCGCTCTTGTCAGGTTGGTTCTCTGGATGTTCACTGAAATTCTCTGAAGCTCACCTTCAGTCCCAGAGAACCCAATTCTAAGACATCTCACTCAGTCATCTGGCAGTTGATGCTGGAAGCTGGTCAGGGGCTGAAGCCTGCAACTTTGGTTCTTTTCCACATGACCTAGATTTCCTCACAGTAGGGTGGCTAGGTTCCATGGATAAAATCCCAGTGAGAGCACAAGGTGGAAGCCGCGGGAACGTTTACCGCCTCAGGAGTCACTTCTGAACACAAGTTCAGAAGGGGACATTGGAACCTACCTTTGGATGGAGGAGGACCAAGTTTGTGGGAGAACAGGCACAGTGGGGTTGGGTAGCTGTCATTCTTGGTAAACACAACCTATTTCACGTATTACATGAAATGGGTTTGAATGCAGGGCTGTGAGAAGTAATCGTGAGCTTCCCCTGAGTGAAATCGAAATTGTTTAGCTGTATTTATCTCATTGTCCTACGCGGATGACATAATTTTCAGCAGCTACTGCCATAGTTCTTGTAATTTTACTTCCCCCTGTTTTCTAGAGTTAACAGGGGAGTAGCAATGCCATTCAAATATCTTTGAGATTCCTTCTCAAAATTGAAGAAGTATTTCAGGTTTTTAGGTGCATAAATGTATATATATATATGTGTGTGTGTGTGTCTCTCGTGTCATGGCTAGTGTGTATGTGAATGTGTACACGTGTGTGTGAGTGTGTGTGTGTGTGTGTGTGTGTGTGTGTGTGTGTGTGTGTGTAGGTCAGAGGTCACCTGGCAGGAGTTGATTCTCTCTTACCATGTGGGTCCTGGGGGTTGAACTTAGGTCTTTAAGCTTGGAGGCTGTTGTAGAATATTATTTTAAGATGTGTTCCATTTGTTTGTGCTGTGGAACATTTGTTTACTGATGCAAAGATGTGTTGTGTTTGTTTAACTCCGTGAAGCTGTGTTACTGTGCCTGTCTAAAACACCCAATTGGTCTAATAAAGAGCGGAACAGCCAATAGCAAGGCAGGAGAAAGGATAGGTGGGGCTGGCAGGCAGAGAGAATAAATAGGAGGAGAAATCCGGGAGGAGCAAAATCAAGGAGCAAGAAAAGAAGGGGCCAGCCACCCAGCTACACAGTCAGAAACGGAATAAGGAGGAAAGAAAGGATATACAGAAATAGAGAAAGGTAAAAGCCCAGAGGCAAAAGGTACATGGGACAAGTTATGTAAAGCTGGCTAGCCAGGCAGTGGTGACACACACCTTTAATCCCAGCACTTGGGAGGGAGAAGCAGGCAGATAGATCTCTTTGAGTTCCAGGCCAGCCTGGTCTACAGAACGAGTTCCAGGATAGCCAGGGCTGTTATACAGAGAAACCCTGTCTGAAAACAACAACAACAACAACAAAAGCTGACTAGAAACAAGCCAAGCTAAGGCTGGACATTTATAAGAAAGAAGAATAAGCCTTCATGTGTTTTTATTTGGGAACTGGGTGATGGGCCCCCCAAAGAGTAAAAAAGATAACTATAGGAGGCAAGTGTCTTTACCCACTAAGCTATCCTGCCAGCCAAGTAAGACAATCTCTGAATGCTGGGGTTATAGGTGTATGCCATCAAAACAGCTTAAACACAGGTTTTTGTTGTTGTTTGTTTGCTTTATATTAATAAAGGAATGTTAATTTTGATGGAGAAAGCATCATGACTGAGGGTGATTATCTAACTTATTCAATAACTTTTTCCCGCTTGGGGTAAACCTCATTCCTACCTTGGGAAGGGTGCATGACCTAGTCTAGGCCTAAAAGAATCTCACTTTGGGGCTGGAGAGATGGCTCAGTGGTTAAAAGCACTTGACTGCTCTTCCAGGAGGATCTGAGTTCAATTCCCAGCACCCACATGGCAGCTCATAACTCTCTGTAATTCCAGTTCCAGGGGACCCAACACCCATGACAAAACAACAATGCACATAAAATAAAAATTAATTAATTTTTAAAAAGTCTCACTTCTGGTTTCAGGGGTAGATTTCAGAATGGGACATGAGTAAAGTTCACCTATTCATACCACAAGCTCAATTATTATTTTTTTCTCTTAGGGTTGCCAGGCCCCAGAACTAAAGAGTCAATAATCAACGGAAACAAAATTCAGAGCCTGTTTCTTATAAAAGGTCCCTGCGTGTTTTTTTTTGTTTGTTTGGTGTGTGTGTGTGTGTGTGTGTGTGTGTGTGAAGTTTGGGAATTACCCCAATAAGCCATGTACCAGACACGTGTGTTTAAAGAACCTTATGAAAGGGAACTTGCTAACTACAACATGGGCCTCCAGAAGCTAAGCACACATAACTTAGCTATGACCTCACACAACACAGCATGCAGCTATGGACAGTTTCAGAGTTGGACTTTCTCATAATTCATTTCTTGCCCTTTTGAATGGGACACGAAAACGTGGATTGTTTTACAAGCCCCTGGTTTTGGTTTTACTGGGTCTGTCTTACTGATCTGGTGTCTCAGTTTGTGTGGACGGTACTTGAAGACTTCGTGACTCTGGGCTGCCAGTTCTCACGTTTTTTGTCTTTCTAGGCTCGCGTGTGTGGAAGTCTCCTTGCTTCCTTTTCAATCCCTAATCATTTTACGCGACCTTCTCTGGACAACCTCCAGTTTCATTATGACATTTGGTGGCTAGAACCCTACGTGATATTTCTAGAGGGGATGAATGCTAGTGTCTGTGTGTGTGTGTGTGTGTGTGTGTGTGTGTGTGTGTGTGTGTGTATGAGTGCTCCAAGTCTGTGCTTTTCTATTTTGTTTTCTACATCCTTCCTAATGATGCCTGCCTTTGTGATTGCCACAATACATTGGACGGACCTCTTCAGGGAACGGCCTGAATGATGCCATCTTCCTTTTCCTGAATCACGTCTCCACCCGGAAGCCTTGGTCTCTGGAGAATGAGGTGGGTCCCTTTCTACACAGACCATTATTGTGCAGCTGACGCCACTGTGGGTGACTGTCAGCACCCTCACACAGGCTCTGTGAGGCCTACTTCACCATTGATTCTCATCAGATTGATGCTTCCATGGCCTGAAACTCTGGATGATTTGAAGTTTCACTTTGTTGGCATTTCAGTCACTGTGGGAAAATGGTGAGCAAGACTGGTACATAAATACCCAGCTCACAAGTTTCATATATCCTCAGACAAGGCATGGTTATTATCCTTTTCATTTTCCTTCACAAAGTCCACCTGCAACCTGCAATGGCCCCAGGACTTGATTTAAAAATTTGTGCACTTCCTATGAAAATACAGCTTTGTGATCACTTAAAAACTCACCTTTTTCTTCTAGGTCCAATGAGATTGTTACTTCTAAGCCCTTTCAGTAAGGAAACATCAGAATCGTTGCTGGTCTCTATCCATTCTAGTAGTGAAATACAGTTGTTTTAGATAGTATTTTGCTCTGTAGCCCAGCGGGGGCTTATGGGGTCATGGCTGTGGAACAGATTTTCACCCGTGTGCCATGTGACCTTGGACTCAGACTCCCTTCCCTTTGGTTTTCTCACCTAAACAGTGGGGATGAAAACAGTAATTGAAGTCTTGAAAGTCAACGAGACAGCTCATGTCAGTCACTTAGAATGGTGCAAAGAGATGATGATTGATGGGACTCTGGGGAATGTGATTGCAGTATAGACTTCTCACTAACTCAGTGACAGCTAGACAACCCATTGTACTTAGGGAAGGTTCTGGAAAGCTAGGTTTATATAAATATTGACCTTTAGCCTTGATAGAAAGATAGTAAATATAAATAATTGATAGATGTAAAGTAATGAGTGGTACTACAGTTAAGAGCCCAGGCTCTGGGTTTGGATTCTTGCAGATTCAAATATTGCTTGCATCCTTACATACCTGGGTAACCTTTACTAGCCTCGTTAAGTTTTCCTGTTCTTACAGGTTTAAAAGAATGGGGAGCCCAGGTGGGGGTGGCCACGCACACCTTTATTCCCAGCACGTAGGAGGCAGAGGCAGGTAGATCTCTGAGTTTGTGGCCAGCCTAGTCTACAGAGTGTGTTCCAGGACAGCCACGGGTACACAGAGAAACCCTGTTTTGGGGAAGAAAAAAAAATGGAGATAATAGTACTGTTGACCTTACAGCATCGTTACAGTATTAACTGAGAAAATTCATGTAGGGAAGCTCAATGTTTTGGCTACCCCATTGAGAATCATGCTAGCCCTCACTGCAAAAAAAGATCCAGAAAAAATAGTGTGGAAATTCAGAGGAGCGTGAGATCTCTCTGTCTACTGTGTGGAGAAATGCAAAATCGTGGGAAAAGATGATAAATCACAAAGTCCCTCCCCAGCACCATGGCATTTGTGATTTGGGACCTCACTGTGGTGCTGTGTGAGTCAGGCAAGTACTCTGCCGTGTGCTACATTCAATGTCTCAGCTTACTGAAGAATACACGTTGTGCCATTACTACTAAGCTGGCTCAACTCTTCTCTGAGGTAGTTTTTGTCTTTTCTCTTCTCTTCTTTTCTTTTCTTTCTTTTGGTTTTTCGAGATTTCAGGATTTCTCTATGTCCTGGAATTCACTCTGTAGACCAGGCTGGTCTCGAACCCAGAGATCCGCCTGCCTCTGTGATTAAAGGTTGTGCTGCTACCACCCAGCTAAGGACTGTTTTTTTTTTTTGTTTGTTTGTTTGTTTTAAGATTATTTTTTATTTTATTTTATTTACGTGTCTGTGTATGTCGTGGGTGAAATGTGCTGTGTGAGCTCAGGGCCCTAAAAGTTGACACTAATGTGTCAGATCTCCCTCCGTGAAAGGTGACTGTGAACCAGCTGACGTGGGTCTGGTCAGTATGAACTCCTACCCATGAGATATCTTTCTAGCTCTGAGGAAGGTTTTATATCAATGTTACCTCTTCATCTTTATGACAAGGAAGCAGAAATCCAGCAACTTCAAATGAAATCACTTGCCAAAACTCACCCCCCCCACTCCCCGCCACATATCCCACCCCAGAAACTTTTCTGAAGCTGTGGGTCTGCTGCAAAGCCCGGGATTTCAACTGTTGCTTTGCCCCCAGCTACAGAGAAGGAGCTATTGCTCGTGTTTCCAGGATGAGGATTTGTGGGGAGTGGGGTGTACCTGGAAGGATGCTAATACATGTGGAATCTGAGCCACAAGGGTTTGTGGCATATATCATCCTGGTTGTATTAAGGTCAAGAAATAAAACAGCCTTTTCCTCACTGGGATGTTCCCTGAGTGGTACTGGGTCATTCCCACACTTTTTTTTTTTTTTTTTTTTTTAATTCTTTTTTTTTTTTTTTTTTTTGGTTTTTTAAAAAAATATCTGTCATGGCTCCTTACCTTTAGTTCCTTGAGCATGAAGAATACAGTCCTCACTTTGATACCTTTGTCCACTAATTCTCTTGTCCCTGTCTTTTTTTGATGGAAACCCAGTATCATTTGTACCTACTCTTAATCTCCAGTACATTAAAACACTAATTGGTTTTACTATTCAGCAGTTGGATTTCTTACTTCTTGTTAAGCCCTACATAAGAGATGAAAAAATATCACCAACAGCCACCGGCAGATGATTTTCCAATAATAAACATAGAATCGCCATTGATTGAATTCTTCCTTTGTGGCCAAGCCAGATGCTGTCCCACAGCTGACCAGCTTGTCTAGGCCTTGATGCTTCTCCTGATCCTCAGATTCCTCTACTCTAGTGTTAAGTGCAAGGACTCCGGAGCTACACTACCAGGTTCAAATCCTAGCTCTGTCACTAGTGGCCTGACTTCAAACAAGCTGGCTAACCTTCCTTGTGCCAAGTTTCCTTATTACAATATATATGGAGAGAGCTATGGAGGACATGGAATTATATAGATTTCTATGCTCTGGGTACTCACCAAGCATTGCCTTGGTGAGTAATAGATACCGTGTTATCTCTACATCCAAGGAAAGCCTTATGCTCTTCTAGTTCCAGTTAGGGGGCGAGTTACAAATTCAACTGAGAAAAGACACATTATCAAAAGATTTTTTATTTTTCCCTCTAAAAGACAGGATCTCATTATGCAGTCCTGGCTGCCTTGGAAGTCACTATGTTGACCAGGCTAGACCTGAACTCACAGAGATCCTCCTGTCTCTGCCTCCTGAGTGCTGGAATTAAAGATAGATTTTCTTCACTTCTGTGTGTTGTGTTCATGTACGAACGTGACTTGAGGGAGAGCATAGAATTTGGGAGCTGGCAGCTAAGATGGGTGGGGTAGAGGAACGCCAGTTTGGGAAAAACAAATGACTTCTAGTAGCGATAAATCCGCCCTTGGAGAAGAGATGGGAGAAGTGATAGTCTGTGACAATGTCTGTTTCTCTTCCTTCTATTCTTGGTGATCAGAAACTATTTTTCCTGCCGGCGACACTCCTGGCGAGGGCTGTACAGCACTTGAAGACTTCCGGGACGCTCTATACTCAAGTCGGCCAGGGCATTCCAGAAACAAAGAGAAACTGTCAATCCCAGTGGAATATTCCAGATCACTTCCCATAGTGTCTCCATTTTACAAGGAGCACATTGGAGGCTGAGAGAGATTAATTCACCTAGAATCACCAAAGTGGTCAAGGTTGGAGTTGAGGTTTAAACCCAGATATATCTAACCTCCCAGCTTGTTTAATTTTTCTACTTTAAGGAGAAATTCTAACCTGCCTCGAATTTCTGAGGACTATAAATAGTTTCTCCTTCCCTCCCCCACTCCTTTTTTCTTCCTCCTTCTCCCTCCCTGCTTCTCTTTTTTTGTGACAGGCCGGTCTTCCTATGTAGATGAAGATGACCTTGAACTTGTGATCCTCCTGCATCCACATCACAAATGCTGAGATCGCAGATGTGGACGCCATGCTCACTTTATGCAGTGCTGAGGACTCAACCCAGGGCTTTTGCTGTAGGCAAGTACTCTACCTACTGACCACATCCTCAGCCCTTGGGTGAATATAGATTCTTTGGCATGAATTTATAGCAAGTTTCACCTTCGTTATTTAGAAAATGATAATGTTGAACAATATGGCTTTTAGAGGTCTGCCTGTTAACACTGTGTATTTTGGTTGTTTAACTGAAGAAATTATAGTCATGTTTTAAAGCATGAACTAGACAAGCCATTGTAGTCTCTCTCTCTCTCTGTGTGTGTGTGTGTGTGTGTGTGTGTGTGTGTGTGTGTGTGTTACCCATGGCCTTGCTCATTTGTGCATACCTTCGCAGGGTCTTGAGTTGCTCTAGAACGTTGGTTCTCAACCTGTGGCTTGCATATCAGATAGCCTGTATATCAGATATTTATAATTTGATTCATAACAGTAGTAAAATTGCAGTTATTAAGTAGCAATGAAAATAGTTATATGGTTGGGGGTCACCACAACATGAGGAACTGTGTTAAAGGGTCACAGCCCTAGGAAGGCTGAGGACCACTGCTCTAGAAAGAAGGGGATGATATACAGATGTAGATAATTGTTGTTTGTTTCTAAGCATGAGTTGCTGACCCAGGCTTCTGCACGTCCTCAGGGAGTGTCTCTTGCAGGCCTTTTTGAAGAGGTGACTGGCTAAGGGAAACAGTCCTTTTTACAAGAGATAAGTGTCTTCTTAAAGTAAACCCAGAATCAATGGAGGACAAGTTCTGTTTACTAAACGCTTCCTGCTTGACAGCCGTCAACGTGCAGGTCCACATGGCGTGTTCTCTGAGGCAGGGAAGAAATGAAGCCCAGCTCTCTTTCCCCATCACGGGAAAGGCATCCAGGAACTACCCCACAGACAGAAGGTTGCGACACTTCTGAGCAGATCACGCACCCGTAGAAATAGGCGCCAACATCGCCCGACCCCCTCCACCCGTCCATGGGGGGGGACGTGTTTAATTTGGAGACCGTTGATAGACTTAGAGGATTTTGAAAGCGTCACACAAAATTTGTTAAGTACATTCCCTTTGGTTTATTAAATCTAGAGAATTCTTCCGTAGCCATGCTTCGCTTCCTTTCTGTTCCCAATCCTTCAGGGCAAGGGCCTTACCTACAGAGCCATCTCCTTGGCCTGAAATTTTGCATTTTTCACTGTTGGGTGGTTTATTGCAGAATTGGGAGTTTTTATTGCAGGTCATTCCTCCCAGGGACTTTGCTCTTGGCTCTCCCAAGGGCCCATGGGGAAGGTGGGTGCTTGACCCAGCTGGCTCAGACATTCCTTTTTGTTTCTTTTTTCCTTTCTTAATTTTCCCCCCCCTTGGAAACATTTCATCTGATGATGTCAGTGATGCTGACGATTTTTGTATTGATTCTGACTTTTCAAGTAGCTTCCTTCAGTCTAAGGCCAGGCCAGGTGAAAAGGGGGTTGTCTGGTGTGGCGAGACCTCTAATCAGGCCAGAAACAAAGCTCTTAATGGGACGCAAAGCTGTAGGGATTCCTCATGATGTCTAAGTTAAAGAGAGAAAGCAGTCTGGCTTTTTATCCCGGCCGTGAATGAAAGGAAAACCCACAAACACATAAAAGTGAACGGAACAAAACCCAAGAAAAGCTGGCCACCAGTCAGTCACCATCAAGAGACTGACGGGCAGGAAGGGAGGCCGGCTTTCTACCAACAGGCTAGAGAAACACGTGGGTGGGATGTTAAATGAGAAAGGCTGGCTCTAATGAGCTCCGGAGCAAAAGGAAAACTAAATCCCACTGCTGTGGAGATTTGAGGCCTAGGGATGCCCTAACCAAAGGAGGTGGAACTGAGGTCATCCAAAGGTCAGGAGCCCTCGCTCAGGTTTTTCCAACTGTACCTAGGGTTAGGTTAGTAATTTGATAGAGGTTAGTAAACCCCGAGGGAGGGAGGAGATGGGAAGTAGTGAGACTTAAAGAGAAAGGGTTTTCTTTTTAAGTTTTTGGAACCTACTCCCTGATTTAAAGAAATAATCAAGTGGTATACCCATGACCTTAGCACTCTGGAGGCTGAGGCAGGCAGAACTCTGTGAGTTCGAGGCCAGCCTGGTCTACAAAGCGAGTTCCAGGCGAGCCAGGGTTATATAGTGAGATCTTGTCTCGGAAGGAACAAACTCAGCCAACACAACAAATAAACAACAACAACAAAAAAAACCCTGATCTCTGGGATGGGTTGAAAATCTGTATTCAGCTGGTACTATGACCTCAGTATTTTTAAGGGTAAAATAGACTATGATAACAGATACATTATAAATACTGTAATTAACAGTGCCTGGTGCACAGCCGTTGCTTAGTAGGTATTTGTAGAATGCAGAGGCAAATAAGGGCATAGTGAGTATTAATGAATCGCATATGTAAGGCAATGCTGTGTACCTGGCACACACCCTATTGTAAAGTTTTGAAAAAGGACCTTGTTAGCCTGCTCTCACTCTGGCACACGCACAGCTCTGGGTCCAGCATCTTAAGTCATCAGCAGGCAACTACGTACCCGCCTTAAAAAAGCCGGACGCTGACCCCCACCCTCTCTAAGTCAGTAAGTAGGTGATGGATGGGACGCTCATGCTCTGGGGATAGAGGTAAGTCTTGGGTAAGCCTTGGCCTGGGAGAAACATGCAAATGAGTGAATACGTAGGAGGCGGCACCCGGGGACCTGGAGAAAGTCTTTGGGAATCTGAGGCACTTAGAATTGCAGGACATTTGGAGAAAAGAGAGCTCAAGTGCCTTTTCCCTACCCTTCTATCATGTTAATATTCAATTTAGTCTGTCTGTCTCCTGTTCCCTTGATCTCTGCTCTTCTTTAAAGCATTTCTCTCTCTCTCCTTCCTTCCTTCCTTCCTTCCTTCCTTCCTTCCTTCCTTCCTTCCTTCCTTCCTTCCTTCCTTCCTTCTTTTCTTTCTTTCTATTACCTCAGGTTTTGTTTGTTTTAATTTCAGATGTAGGAACCTTGGGGTCCCTAATTTTCAAATTTCCTTTTTTCTGTGTTTGGCATTGGAAGCTCTAGGTTTCCCTGTCCCCCTTGTTAGCTGCTGTCCTGCAAAGTACGATAGACTCCGTGCTGGCTAGTTTTTCTTTCAACTTGATACAATGTGGGGTCACTTGGGAAGAAGGAATCATGATCTAAAAAAAAAAAAAAAAAAAATGCCTCCATAAGGTTGATCCATAAGCGTGTCTGTGGGGCATTTTCTTGACTGATGATTGATGTGGGAGACCCCAGGCCATGGTGGGTGGTTCCAGCCCTGAGCAGGTGGTCCTGGGGTATGTAAGAAAGCAGGCTGAGCAAGGCAATAGACATCATTCCTTCAAGGCTTCTGCTTTGATTACAGTCTCAAGTTGCTGTCCTGACTTCCTTCAGTGATGGACCGTGTTGGGGAAGTAGAAACGAAATAAACCCTTTTCTTCCCAAATTGCGTTTGGTCATGGCATTTTATTGCAGCAATAGAAACCCAAACTAAAACAGAGACTCTTCTGGCACTACTTAAAAAAACAAAAACTTTATTTTATGTGCATTGGTGTGAGGGTGTCAGATCCCTTCAAACTGGACTTACAGTCATAAGCTGCCATGTGGGTGCTGGGAAATGAACTTGGGTCCTCTGGAAGAGCAGCCAACGCTTTTAACCACTGAGCCATCTCTCCAGCCTCTACTGGGACTATTATTCAACCTAGTTTATCTTATAATTTTCTTTGTATTTTTTTCTTGGTCCTGTGCAATAGTTCCAATATTTGCAAGTAAGTCTTATACATTTTATTATTGATTTCCAATTTGCCTTTATAATGGCTCATGAATAAACTCTGTAATTCCAACCGTTTAAAAACTGTAATTTCAACCCTTTAAAATAGAATTGTTTTATGGCTTAGCCATAATTTGATGGTCAGATCTTGGGCTTTGGAAAAAAAATAAATGTTCTGTAATAGATGGGTACAATGGTCTATAAGTAAATATCAGTGAGCTCCTGGTGGTTGTTCAAATTTACATCATCTATTTATTGTTTGAGAATTTCATTCACAAATATGTGTTTGATCAAATCCATTCCGTACTCCATTCCCTCCAATTCCTCCCATACTCCCTCTACCATTCCTTTCGCCTCCTAACTTTATGTATGCTTTTAAACCCACCCAGTCCACTTAGTACCCTCATGTACACTGGTATAAGACCATCCACTGGAAATTGGGTGACCTATCAGAGGGCTACCTCTGAAGAAAACTGAGTCTCTGTGGTGGTTTGAAAGAAAGTGGCCCACAAGGGGAGTGGCACCATTAGGAGGTGTGGCCTTGTTGGAAGAAATGAGTCACTGTGGAGTCAGGCTTTGAGGTCTCATATATGCTCAAGATACCGCCCATTGTCTCAGACCACTTCCTGTTGCCTGCAAGTCAAGATGTAGTTCACTCAGCTACTTCTCCAGCACCACGTCTGTCTGCACGCCACCCTGCTGCACCATGATGATTATGGACTAAACCTCTGAAAAATGTAAGCCAGCCCAATTAAATGTTTTTCCTTCGTAAGAGTTGCCGTGGTCTTGGTGTCTCTTCACAGCAATAGAAACCTGGACTAAGACACCCTCCCCGGAAGTCATCAATTGTCAACGAATCCTCAGTTAGTGCTTTGTGAGCCTTCAGCCATCCGTGCTGGATCTTTGGCTGGCTTGCTTTGAGGAAGGTCTGAGGAATGCCACTGTGAATTCCTGTGATCAACAACTCTGCTTTGTCTGGAAAGAACTTTCACAGCAACTGGGTCCCTGCCTTTGGTCTTCGCAGTTTTTTGTTTTTTTTTTGGCTTTTTGAGACAGGGTTTCTCTGTGTAGCTTTGCG